AAAACCGGGAAAGGGGCGGGGGGGGGGGGAAAAGTTTTTTTTTTTCCCAGTTTTTTTTTTTCCCCCCCCTTTTTTCTCCCCTCCCTGTTCAACCATGGGCCCCCCCAAAACCCCCTGGGGCCCCCCCCCCAAATTTTGGTCCCCTAAAAAGGGGGGGGCCCTTTCCGGCCGGGGGGAAAGGGGGGAAAACCCCAGGTTTTAAAGTTTTGGGGGGGGGGAGGGTTTTCCCGGGTTAAAATTTTTTGGAAAAAAAAAAAAAATTTTTAGCAACTCTGGAATGGGCCTCCAGGGGGGGGGAAAGGGGGGGGGGGAGGAGGGGGAGTGGTAGGAAATTGGGGGGGCAAATGCTCCCAGCGGGGACTTAACAGCAGAAAGACCCCCTTTGAGGTCCAGGGGTGGCAAACCCCCCCCCCCCCCCCCCCCCCCCCCCGCATAGGGGATCGCAGGCGGCATCTACTTCAGAGTTTATGGTAAGAGGCTGGAGCAGGCACTCAGCGCCACAGACAACACACCCCACCCTTTAAGGAAGTGGGGAGGAGAGCAGGGGTGTGGTTAACTAGGAGGAGGAGAGGGGAAAACACAAACCTGTCAGCCCTCTGACTCTGCGGAGGCCTCCGGCGGGGCGGCGAGTCCCCCACGTGCCACGGCCCGGACTCACCTGTACCTGCGCAGCCCCCGCCTCACCTGGCCGAGCTGAGAGCCGCGCCGCCACCCGCCACCCGGAACCGGCGCTTCCGTCCGCGTGAGTCCCCTCCCGCGATCCGGGCTGAGCACCAGCCAGAAGTTGGCGGCTGGACGAGGTAGAAGGGATGGAGGGGGTGCTCCGGAGATTGTGGGAACCCGAACGGGACCGCGTTCCTGCTGAAGCAGCCTGGGACCCAGCAGGCGGAGGCGGAGGCGGGGTGCGGTGTCCTCCGGGCTCGCTGGCCTTCCGCCGGGGGAAGGGAGTCGACGTTTGCAGTTAATCTGAGACTAAAGGGTGTTTCTCCCTGTTTGTCCTCAAGCAGGGCAGGCTGGGGGCCATGCCCAGGGGGCACAGAGAGGCCACCTGCCTCTAAAGGTCAGATCAGAGAGCAACAAGCAGGGCTTTTCAGAATCCCGTCCCGCCTCTGAGCTGCTCCCTGTGCCCTGCGCTCACCCCTCGCCCCATGCCCTGCACCCCCCACCCTGGTCAGGCTCCCAGGCACCCCAGTGTGCCTGCATCCACTTCTTGCCCCTTGAGAGACCATCTGAACAAGCCCTGACTGGAAGCCAGCAGGGTTCTGCGTGGGGGGAGAGGCCGAGCTGTGATGTGTGTGTGTGTGCCGGAGACTGAAGTTAACACCAGCCGCCACACGGTTCTTTGTGAAACTACCTTCCGAATGCCGCGGAAGGGTTAAATTCTGTGCTGCCTTCCCCTGTCAGGCTGTGCGTGGGCAAAGCCTTGGGTGGGTGAACAGGGACCATATGGGTGATGTTCTGAGCCCACCGAGCCCCACCACCTGCCCTAACCCTCAGCCATCTGACACTGGCATCTCCCCACACCCCAACCTTGGAGCTCGATCCACTTAGAGTCCTTTCAAGGGTCAGGGGAGAAGGGGAGCAGGAGTGCGGACACGGAGGGGGCATTCGAAGGAGGGTTGCAATTCAGAGGAGGAAGAGCTTGCCACTGAGCTGCCGTGGGACGGGATGTGAGCCGACCGGGGTGGTTGGTGTGGCATGATCGGCAAGGGTCAGGAGGAGGCCTCTCCGTGGCAGGGCCGTGGCTACTCTCTCCTCACCTTAGTCCAGGCCAAGAAATTCTGTTGTGGACTTAAGCCCAGCCTTTCACAACCCCTCCAGGGGCAGGGAGAAGAGGAGGCAGAGATGAAAAAGTCAGCCAAAATGGAAGGGAGGAAGGAAATAGTCAAATTCAAGAGACTCGGCTCGGGCAAGATATTTTGCATTCATTCATTCATCATTCATTCATTCATTCATTCATTTGATAAGCATTTACTGACTTCCTACCTGAGTCTAGGTTGGGTGTGGGGAGACAAAAGTACGTCTGACCCAGCCCCTGCTCCCCAGAGCAGTGTGGGGAATGGTGGGGGCCTGGATGGGATGGGCAGGGTGCTAACTAACCCAGTGCTGGAGGGTTAAGGAAGGAGGTGGTAAGGGGTGCACCCCAGGAAGGCTTCCTGGCAGAAGTGACACTAAGTGTAGACCTCAAGGATCAATAGGAATGAGCCAGGGAGAGGAAGAGGGGGAAGAACAGGCACAGAGCACAGCAAGTGCTGAGGCCGTAGGCCAGAAGCAGCATGACGCATCCAAGGAAACTGAAAGTAGCTCAGAGTGTTCAGCGCGTGGAGAGAGCAGGGGCGAGGTGAAGCAGGAGAGGTAAGTGGAGACAGCTCCAGAAAGGCTGCTCAGGCTGCCATGGCAACTCCTAGTGTTGGAGCAACACTAGGGACCTGAAGCCAGGCGTGAGACTTCTCAGCATGCCTTCTGGGTGGGGTGGCCAGATTTAGCAAATACCAGTGAAAATACAGGACACTCAGATTTGCATTTCAGATAAGCCACGGATATTATTCGGCTATAAGTCTGTCCCATGCAATATTTGGGATGTACTTATACTTAGAGATCATTGACTGTTTATCTGAAACTCAAGTTGAACTGGGCGACTGATATTTAACTGGGCAACTCTTCCCTAGGAGAAAGCTGAGGGCGCTACTATGTTGGGAAGCGAAGGATGAGAATTGCCCAGGGGCCAGGGAACAGTCTCAGGACAGACTTACCTTGTAACCAATCCTCCTGGATTCCAGTCTGGGGCTTCTCCACGGACTGACAATGTTATTTCTTAAAAATAAACAAAAAAAATAGTATTAATTCCTTGGTCAGTTTGTTCATCTCCACAGCTGAAGGGTGATGGCACTTCAGAAAGGCATTGGGCTTTGGATTGGACCCAGGCTCAGATCCCAGCCTGGCCAACGTGCCTGCTGTGAGGCCTCATGGAACCACGTAGCGTCTCTGAGCCCAGA